GTTTATTTTTGACTGCCCTCTTGCTGCGATAAAGGATTATCTTATTTGATCTTATCTTGTCTTGTCTTGTCTTGTCTTGTCTTATCTTGTCTTTTCTTATCATATCTTCTCTTCTCTTGTCTTGTCTTGTCTTATCTTATCTTAACCCTCAGTAAGAGAGGAAAAACTACCAACAAATCTTTCTGACTAACTAGAAACACTGCAGTCCAACCAGTGCAGTTTCTGTCTAGAGTGAATTCAGGTAATATGGGACATTGAGTAACGTGGGACACCTACACTTCAGTCCGTTTATTTTCCTGTTTTAACAAAAGCTATTAAACAGGACTTTCGCTACAGGTTAGTGAAGAAATCCCCCTGATCTTAAGATATCATGTTCAAGAAAAACAAAGATAACTTGTGAGGCCATGTGACCTTGACTTTTCAGCTTTGGCTTTGGATTTTAGTATCCAAGTACTTCTTGAACAGTAAGAAGTTCACCCACTTGCCCCAGCTCGCTCTGACAGAAATCCCAAGTTCTCCCTGACTGACTGAAAGACAATGGCTGCATCTCCAATACTGGGTGAACTGTTCTTCAGAAAAGACCAGCGGGTGTTATTTTTATTTTCTTTACTGAGATATTTGCATTATCACATTACTTAAAACCCAAATCTTCAGAACTGCATTTCTTTTTTTGGAACATATTTATTATTCAACACATAACCAACAATCAACATAGAGATGCTAATACACTTGCACTTGACATACAAATATGATAATTACAGTATTCACTAAACATATTGTATGGTTTAGGTTAGGTTAGGTCTGGTTACTTTATTTTTAAGTAGATTTGCTTTGCAGCACAAAAATGAGTTTAACCCTGAGACATAAAGTGTACCCATAATGATAAAAAATAAGTAAAAACAGTAACAATGAGATAAGCACATAAAAGAAAAGAAAAAGATGTGAGAAATCTGACAATTCTGCAAATGACGAGTTAGTAAATGAAAGTGTGTTTAAACATTGACCTGTTATTCTTATCTCTTGCCAATATATTAAAAATCTTCTCTGAACTCAGCTATATCAATACAGTCTGTAACGCCAGTAACTAAATTGAGAAATTGTTATATATTTGAACTAAATGTCATTTCAGAGGCTTCTGGACAAAGTGCACTAAGAACTGCTGCTGAACTGTAGTCCCGATGTGACCTCAGTTTATTTTCCCTGATCATCTTTAAAGTTTCATATCCTTCATACATTATAAAAGATAGAGGTGGCCTCAGCACTGGAGTATGAAAACATGAGGCACAGGCTCATACTGAACAATATGCTGACATTCAAGAATTTCAATACATCAGAATAGGAAAATAAGGTTTGTGTGACCATGAGATCCAACCAAAAGCATCTGTGGCATGTGGAAAACCAACCGGCCACCATGAGTAGTACATTCATTTGGACAGGGGTAAACCAGCAGGGTGACAAAAATACCTCAAACAGGGAATCACCCTTACACTTAAAGTCAAGATTGCATGTTTAACACACAAAAGACTCCTTATTTTGTCCACTGCCCTTGTAAGTGTTTCACACACCAACAACACTGAGGCTTTTTCTCCTTCATTCACATGTGTCCTAGTTTTCTTGCCAGTACCGAGGCCATGTCAGTCAGCAGCTCCTCCCTGATCCGGTCCTCCCTCCTCTGCAGCTCGTGGACGAAATGCCCCCTCAGCTCCATCATCTCCATCACCCGCCCCACCAACTGCCTGCGAGTCGCACTCTGTGCCTCTGGGGGGCAGTCTGGCCTGTTGTCCACCAGCTCAGGCCTCTGGCCGCACAGAGACACAGCCCTTCTCAGAGCCCCAGCGTCCACATCCAGCAGCTGATCCACAGTGCGCCTCTGATCCAGGCCGTCTGCGTGGGTGAGCACTGGGATGATATGTCCCATGACTCCCTCCCCAAACAGCTCTAGCGTGGCTTTGATCGCCTGGTTAGCGTCTTGGCCGATCCCCAAGCTGGAGCCTGGAGCCCGGACCACCAGCAGGAAGGCGTGTGGTCCAGGACTGACAAGCTGAAGACTCCTTAAAGCCTCCCTGGCTCTACTGTTGCTCCCCAGTGATGACCCAAGAAGATCCGGGGTGTCGATCACTGTAACCTCTCTACCGTCTAATACTGTCATTCCCTTGGAGCAATTTAAAAGGTGACCCACTGGGGCTTTTGTGTCACTGTTGCCCAACAAAGTATCAAGCAGGGTGGTCCGTCCTCCACCAGCGGGCCCGATGAGGATCAGCCTAAAGCCTGGTTTGCTGGCTGGATTAACATCTGTGGATGATCCTACAGAGGGGATACTTCACTCTTAGATAAACAATCAAGCACTTTGCAGAGAAACTGTGATTGTATTGAGAATCAACAAGTGTTAGAAATAGTCTTACACAAGAAGGTCAGAAGTGTTGATGTTCTAAAATTCTAAAATTGATGTGGAATGAAAATGTTTGCTGCTGAAACAGCAGTCAGTTTAACCTCTAACTCAAAGGCCTGTGATTATAATGTATATCAAATCTGCCCCAACCATAACCTGCTATAAAGAAAGAAAAACAGCTCTATTTATATAGTTTCTTATGCTTCTGATCTGTACTTTGATATTTCTTTTATTTCTGTAAAGCACATTGAATGGCCTCTGTTTATGATAATGTGCTTTACCAATAAATTGATCTTCATTTATTGTCCAGTGTTGGAGACAATTTACTCAAGTAAATAAACAAAGACAAAAATGTACTCAAGTAAAGGTGAAAGTAACACATCAACCTTTTTAATGGAGTAAACGTAAGTAAGTACTTTTAAATGTACTTCAAGCATAGAAATACTTGCTGTGTGCAGCCTTTTCCTTGATCAAACAGTCTAAAACATCATTATGAGTCTGAGTCTCAGCTTCTTCAGAGTCTATTTCAGGTGTTTCTTCACCAGGGGTCGGGGTCTAATGTAGCCCTCCCCCTCTGATTGGATCAATGGACAGATTACCACTCGGGGTAGAGAGTACAGATATTTGTTGATATATGTGGTGGAGTAAAAGTAAGAGTTCCAAAAAGCACCCAAAAATAAATCTACTTAAGTAAATTACAGATACATGGAAAACGTACTTAAGTACAGTGATGAAGTACATTGTTACTTCATTTGTTACAATCACTACTGGGCCTTGCCTTAATGAGCCAAAGTCCCTTCTATATAGATAATACATTGGTGTCATGTGGTTGCTTGAATTCTTGAGTCACCTCCTGTGATTATTTCCAAACTTACCCAACTGAGACTGTAAACATCTCCTGGCTTGTTTACCTTCCTTTAAAAAGTCAACATGCAAGAGAAAATCACATGCAGCTCACCTACGATGATCCGCCACATCCAGGACAGCCATTTAAAAAACCTCTGGATTCCTGAGACACAAACGGAAAAGTCAGTTTGTCTCTTCAGCTGAAATGTGTTTTTCTCTTTATTCTCCCTGGTCAGATATGAGGGGCACATTTTCTTACCACGCAGTGTTCGCACGAGGTGGCTCACCCAGCCCCAAAGAGCTGACAGGCCTGAGGCAAAAATATGTTATGTTATCATTTCATATCACAGAAACACACACAGAAATCCTGTTGGGATATTGTTCTTATTTTGATTTCACATGATCTAAGTAAACTCACCGGTTAAAGAGCAGAAGAGACGAATGGGCCATCGGATCAGAGCTGGGAGCGCTGCAGAGAAAACAGGAGGACCACCAGTGTCACAGCAGGAGTCATGGTACAAAACTGATTATAACGTGGTGGTGAAAGAAGGACTCTTTCTTAATAGGGTATATTTTTATATATTAGTATAATACTGTTAATGCTCATAACTTTTTCTAATCACTTATGAATTGCCTCAGGCCCCTCAGATGGATTTTAAAAAGTGTATTGACAAATATGTAAATATATCTATTGACATATATAGCATATAACATATTATATGTAATATAAATGTAGGTTATAAATCCTGACTCCTCTATGTTTGCGGATGGGACATGGACCAAACTATAAAGTCTAAGTACACGACAAATACATTTTCTAAAATATTTTTCTGTCATTTTAGGTAGTTCTGATAAAACTTATATTTGTTCAAGTGTTAATTATTCTGGTAAGTTTAACGAACTTTCTGATGATATAAAATATGACCATCATTATGTGAAAAGGGCAAGATGGTGGCTCCTCTATGTGGGACATTTTGGTTTCATTTTTGTGCAAAGGGAGGAAGTGGAGATGTGTTGTCCATCTTTATTTACACATATGTTCCTGACCAAATCTCAGAGTCAATCAGTAACAATATGTCAGAGGAGCTCTCTGTGTTTCCGAATGCGTGTGAACGTTTCTGTCGCCATGAGTGACTGACTCTGAGAGAATCTGTAGAGGAGATATCCGACCACAGCAAAACCTCCCATCTGGGCGCTGTTGCCGTTCAGCCACCAGCCTGAACAGAGAGGGAGAAGGGGGAGGACAGCGGGACATTAGTAATGCAGTGTTATTCAAAACTTATCATGTGCTTTACCTTTGACCCAAAGAATGAAAAACTCTAAATCCTGGAAAACCCCTAATGCAAGTGTGCAGTGTGAAGGCTGACGTCACACTCTCTGTCATTCCAGGATCATTACTTTAAAACAGGAAGCAGTTTATAATGGCAGCTGTGGGGATTTATTATAACATTTATATACTGTATATTAATATTGTATAGACAACCACTCAAAGTGCTTTACAGCTCAGTTTTTCCATTCACAAACACATACAGTGCCTTTTGTGCAGCACTTCCTCTATCACACACTCACACTCTCCCATCAGGGGCAACTGTGGGTTCGGTATCTTGCCTATGAACACTTGGTCATGTGGAGCAGTGGAGATTGGGATTGAACCGCTGACCCCTGGTTAATGGATGAGTGGACGGAGGACAACCTCCAGAGCCACAGCCACAACACTGTGCTATAGTATCACACGGCACAATCACCAGTGATTAATTCACTCAGAATGTAACACTATAGATGTTTTGTGTCCACAGTTAATTTAACACTGGTTGATCTGCTGCATACAAATCCTTTTTTGATAATTTTGTCAAAATTGTCGGAAACTGAAATGTGACAAGATTGGTTGTGATTTTGTTTTAAATTTATTTTTGAAAAACGAACCATTAACTAATTGACTGCACAGCCTGCAAACGTATAGACCCAGTAATAAAATGACTTAAATATAGACTGATGAACTTGTCATTAAGTTCTCATTTAGAATGCACTGTAACAGAAGAGACGTCAAAACACTTATAACCATCTGCATATTCTCTGGAATCCTGCCCACACTTTAATGTCTTTACTGGTATGTAGGTAGGTTTGGTGAGTCTTTAAAATCCCCCCTTACCTGGAACAACATCCCCGTCCTTGTCACACTGGCACTCCATTTTTTATGCAATTCCCAGACTCTCAGTCAGAGTCAAGGCAGCGAGCAGCGGGCGACAGCACTTCAGCTTCCAACTGTCAAAATAAAAGCCCTGAAAGTTCTAAGTAACGCCGAGGTTGACATGTTTTTCATTGTGGATCAAATCTGTGGTTACATAAAGTTGCTTTTTATGCCACACTTCAGACTAACAAACATCAGCTAGATGTACAAAGTTTCATGACAGTAAACAAAATAAAACATGGACAACTCTATATGTACATTACAATGTAATCTAAAAGCTTATTTTAACTAAAAATGTTTCTTAAAGTTCCATTACCTGGTGTGTTGCCTGACAAACCTCCTCCAGGAATGCTGTGTGCTTTCAGCCTCTCAAAACCTGATATGACTCACACACACACGCTCCCACTTGCATGTGGTTCCTTCTTTCTGCTGTTGTAGCCTGAGCAGGACTGCCCTCACTAGAAACACTGGCTCTGTGTCATTGTGCTGTGTAGCCACACAACACACTCCGGTCCAGGTATGCTGATAACACTGCACTTTGACTTTGGAAGGACACACCTCTCTCCTTGGTTCAAGAAGAACTGGAAATGCAGCACAGAATGTGCTCATGCACTTTTTAAAATAAACCAATGATGCAGGGATGTAAAAAAGGTTTTGTTTTATTCAAACGAATGAAAAAATTATCTACAAGCGACATTACTAGTCGTCATATTTTTATGACCATGTTCATGTTACAGTGTATTCCAGCACAAATGCATTTTTTAATAATCTAAGTATCCACATGTTATGTAATATGGGACTGACAAACAAAGTGTAGAAATTAGTACAGAGAGGCACAGAAGCACACAGCCTTTAACAAAAGTAAAGCAACAGGTTTGATCGTATCAGGCGAAAAAGGAATGAAAAGTCTTCAGCCGCTGATGAAACACAGACACAGATCTGAGGCAGTGTTCATGAGCCCAGCCGGTCAACCAGAGCATCGATCAGTTCCTGCTTCTTAGTACCAGTGGTCCGAATTCCAAACAGCTTACATGCGTCCTTTAGCACAGGCACGGTCAGCTTTCCCATGGTGCCGTTCTGCACGTGGGCCTTCAGCTCGTCTTCTGACAAGTCAAGCTTTGGCTTCTTCTCAGCTGCACCTCCGATGTTTGCTTTAAGCACAGAAATGAGAAAACATTCAAAATGATGTTAAAAAACGGACACACAGCTTTCCCCCGCTGCACACTGGAGGATTTTCAAATCTTAACTGATTTAAAAAGCACGGGAGACCACAGACATTACAACAGTTTAATATTTAATTGTCAGAACGCACACACGAGACAATCCTGTTAAGATGCAGGATCACACTTGTGTTTAATCCATCCAGAACTACAGTGCCAAAAAGAAACGCGTGCAACAAACTTAATTTCCCACTCATATTGACATAATGGGTCAAACAAACGGTTCCTAAGTAGTGATTTTAGAGACTAGGGAACTCACAGAAAGTCTTGCGTTGGTGATGTTTCCCTGTCAGCTTGCTCTTACTCAGGGAATCAGAGTCTCGACTAGATTCTCCCCCAACTTGAATTCAGTCTCTGACTTCAGGGTTACCTCTGTAAACCCCTCACACTACAGGATCACTTTGCCAGATAATCTGTTCAGATGATGGTCCTCTAGTGTGAGGCCAGCATTAGGTTCAGTGATGACTTGAGTTCTGACCTGTTTTGCGTTTGGCAGCTGGTTTGTTGTCTGGGTTGTAGTGGGAAGGGTAAACCAGGTCTTTAAACTCCGACACCAAACGACCCAGACGATCGTCAATCTGTTCGTTCTTTGGCACTGAGACAGAGATGGAGAGAGACGGGGAGAAAGCATTAGATGAAGAAACAAGCAATGGTTGTACCACCCACAGGGGCAACCAGCATCCCTGCTTTTGTCTGCATCTTACTGATTAGGTCCTCAGTATCTTCTGGAGCCATCATGTCCAGAGCCAAGGCCTCCAGGTTTCTGTAATGTTGCTGGATGACTGGGTTCTCAAACGCATCGCTCCTGTGTAAGATCACAAAGAACCAAAACATTTAACAGAAAGAAACGGATTACATTAACTCGATATGAAAGTTGCAATGTTTTATCTGAAATCTGTGTGAACAACTGAATACGTGCAGCTACCTGTATTTGAAGCGGAGTTTGGAGATGATCTCCTTCATCTTATCCACCTGTGTTTGTGAGGCCAACGGGAACTGGGGAGGATCCACCGTCCGTATATCATCAGCATATGGCAGGAAAATCATGTTGAAACCTGATACAGGCAAGAGATAATAAGTTGAAGTGAAGCTGCAGTACACTACAATGACATTACCTGTAAAGTAGTCACAAGATAGATAAGCCACACAGTGGTGGGATTTAATCAAACAGTAAACTCCCGTGGAGTGCAGCAGTTTATCACCTGGTGGTACATTCTGTACTTTCCCCTCATCGATCACTTCTTTCTGAGGCACCAGGGCAACAAATCGTGGTGGGACGTTTCGGCGCGCGATGCAACGGCACAAAGCGAACAAGTTTCTCTCGCTACACTTTCTCAGCAACGCGGAGAACAGACATGCACTTCCTGAGGAGGAGAAAACAAAATGCATAAGAGCACAAAGAACAAACAAGTTAGTGGGGCCAGCTCAATGAGACAGTTTTGATACTACATATAATATATATTGAAAAATAACCATCTATCTACACTGATACGAACACTAGCATGAATGTTAAACATTAAAACACACTGTAGGAGCACCAACTGTTAAAAAACAAAAGATTCTTATACTGCTTTTAGACATGAACTCCAGGAAAATTGGGTCTGGACACACACACACACCTTTAACCACATCCTCCTCAGGATAGAGAAAGAGAGAAGGCCGGATATGGTGATGCAGTTTCAGACTCTCCAAGGGTTTGAATCCGAAGAGAATCAGTCCCGGATCATCAAACCTCTTGATTGCGGCCACCTCGTCCCTCTCCATCACTATCTTCTTTTTACCATACACCTACAGCAGACACACACAAACAAAGGGCTATGACAGAAATCACTGAATAAATCCTCTGATGTGTGCTGCCATCATCCACTAAATTAGCATTACATTTAGCCTGGTCTTACCTGGGCTTTCTTTATCTCACTGGGCAGCAGCAGGCTGCCGGTCTGGGTATGGAAGGTGCGGGTTTTGCTGTGCACTGGCTCGTTGGTTTCCCTGTAAAGTTTGATGGCTCCAGGTTTTCGGGCCGTCACGGCAGTGGCATAAATCCCCACGGCTACTTTTAGGTCCTCACCCAGACACAGCTTTAACCTAAGGATGGCAGGGAGGAGGAAAGAAAAGACAGATCCGTACATTTTGAAAAAGGAACTGAGAAAAAAACAGGATCCAGGGTAGGATAAAAATATTAATTTGTCACTTATCTCTACCTTGCGATGGCTCTCTTCTTCTGCTCCTTGGCACGCACCCTCTTCTTGAGGTCCTCCATTTTTTCACACGGCTCCAGCTGCAACTCCAACTCGCTCTCATCCTCTGGTGGACTTATAATGTCACAAAAGAAGATCGAGACATCGAAGCCGCCAGGTTTCATCAGGTGCATTAAATCAATGATGACACCTAAAGAAAAAGGGATGAGTCAGGTGAGGTCACACAGGCTGAAGATACCTACCACTCCAGTTTCAGGTATTGGGATACATCCATACCACTACGTTTAGGTTTGATAACAGCATTTTCACAAGCTTTTAATTGATTTCAAATGTTACGTTCTAGACTGGAGGCTAATGCTGGTTGTTTTCTTCTGGAAGGAGTCATGTGATAAAAGCATGACTAATAAGCGAAGGCTATGTCAGGGCTGAAAACACCCAATTGTTTTAACACGTCTCAATTTCTGCCCCTCGAGACTAAAGTCCATAGTTTTTAAATGAAAACAGGCCCAGCAGCGTTTCCAAACTTCTCCCCTTCTGCAGCTCTAAAACTCCAGAGTAGTGGCCTTGTTATATCATTGCAGTCACTTCTTGTGCCATCATATGGTTGGAGAAACCGCTAGTTATACAGCACATAAAAGGTATTACAGATGTGCGTAAAAGGCCAGCAGCCTTCACTTCAGACCCACCTGTCTCTTTGAGGTCACTGGCTTTGGTGCGAGCCTGTCGATCCTTTGTACTGTCGCCTCCGTGCGGCTCATCCCTGCAGGTGAAGATCATGAGCCTCTTGTGTGAGAGGCGAAGCTTGATGTCACTGTAGAGGTTGCTGCAGCACCACAGCGCGTCCCCTAATGACGTCTCTCCACTGCCCATGGTCTCTGCTGCAAGCTTTGCTCCTTTGTCCTCCATTAGAGCGTCCACTTCCTGCACTCGCTTTGCACCTATGGAAGAGGGAAATGGAAAGCAAACATGTATGTAAGGAGACCAGTGAGGGAAAAAAAAAGAATGACTGGGTATGAAGGAAAGATACTATTTAGAAAGTTAAAACATTATATTGATGGAAAGAATTAGCGTGTGAGATATTAATGAAGGGAGGCTAGTAATCTGCATTGTAGTACAGTTGATTTCTTACAGTAATAACAGTAAAAAGGTTACAAAGTTACATTTTCTATCTCTACACGTTAGAGTTATATTTGCGATTGCAGCAAAGCATGCTCGCTCTAAAATCTGACCATGTGTTGGTTTAAAAAAAAAGTGTCTCACCAGGTTCATTGAGGTCGTGGTAAACATACACATGCTTGAATGAGTTCCTGGGGTTTTTGCTTTGTTCTGTGCCGTAGAAAACTAGAGCCACCAGGTCCCTGTGACTACTGATGATCTTACTGGTGTACACACTGCGCACAACCTCATGAACAGAAGACAGACACTTATTATCATGAGACTAATGAATGGAGTAGGGCATGTCTGAAAAATAAAAACAACCAGTAATGTAATCGTATAACACTGATATGCAGCAGAAGCTTGGGTGGTTTCTTATTTATTTTATGCCCAAATAGTTCATCTTACCTGCATGGTCATGTCAAAGTTGGATGGCTGTCCGTCTTCTCCTTTGATGAACATTTCCTTGGAGGCATCAACCAAGAACACCAAACTGTCTCTTCCTGTGACTTTGTACTCTCCTAACAAGGACAGAGAGCCCAGTTTGTTTTGGTTTAGTTTTAATGGGTCAGATAGTGAACAGTTGATATCAGATGCCATAACAAATGTTAAATTACATGGTGAATTGTAGTGAAATGCATTGTACTAAGATGTATGTCATTATAAAGTGTTCACATCAAAGTAGTATGTGTGAAGATTCTCAGTTATGTCATGATATCTTTTTAGTATGAAAAAACGGACAAACAAATGCAGATGAGGTAATGAAATAACTATAAAATAATATACTATGTATTATAATATACTATATAAATAATAATATGGCAGATCTGGCAAAATCAGAGTGCTGCTGTCATCTCACCTGTAGTTTGCTCTCCATCTTCCTGCTCTTCCTCTTCATCCTCGTTGTGGTAGTAGGCGTTCCACTGAGCCATTAGGACTTCTTCTGTCACAGGGGTTGAGAGCAGGAAAGAGCTTAAATACTGTTCAGTCATTTCATACTTAAACTGTGTGATATCACAGCATTCGGACAAAGTCAGGCTTTAAATCCAGCCTTTATTTACACAGGAAATCCACTTTCTGTTGCAGAGGCAGTCTGGTTACATACACAAAAGTCCAAACGTTTAAAAACGCACATCGTGAGCTAGCTTAGCCAGTGTGCTGAGTCAGGATCAAGCTCGGACTTCTGATCGCAGCTTCATTTTCAGTATTATGGTGCAACATGATTGTCAGCGTTGCTATGACAATGCTTTGCTGCGCTCCTTCTGAACTTTCAGCCAATGCATTAACCCTCAAACCGACTTCCCGTGGCGCTAATCTAAAAAGAGAACAACAACTCTGTCAACACTTCGATGTTTAATCAGTACGTGACTAATGCTCGGCTTCAGTCATGAGTGACGCTAGCTAGCTTAGCTTCTAATTAGCCACTGCCCACTTCTTAAGGTGTTGACGTCGCCTCCTGAATATCTGTATGTTTCTAACTGAGCACGCACTCTCTATATATTCGGCCTGAACAGAATAAGAACACAGACATTGAGTGAACTGCACAGAAACTTACTGCTGAGTTTCTCTGTTGCAGCTTCACAAACCCGGACTACTTCCGTTTCAATGGCTGGCGCTGCCACACACGGGAGCGCGCACGCACACGTCGTCGTCTATTGGCGCTCGACTGTTGAGAAAAGATACTGACCAATCGTAGCGAGGTGGGCGTGGCATACGTGTGCCAGAGAGGCTCGTCCCCGGAAGAAAACAAAGTGTCTCCACGCGGCCGTGACAGAGATGTTGTTGTTTACAGTCCCACGGTGACACAGCACAACCAGGACGTCAGCGACAGATTCACTTTATCTTTAATGACATTTTTCAATTCAACTAGTTCAGATAGTCTCTCTTATAGTTTTATATCCCTGGTAGTTACAGCCATACGTGTTTTTTAATTCAAGTTTTGTGTGTATGTACCGGTAAGCTAGCTAACCGGCTAGCTCTTGGTGGAAGTGAGTCAGCTAAAGTAAAAACCTAAGTGAACTGCAGTTGTCAGTTTTGTTGCCATGGACCAAACTGGCTCCTTCCCGGTGAAGCTGTACATTTACGACCTGTCCAGAGGAATGGCCCGACAGCTCAGCGCTGTCATGCTCGGTGAGTTTCTGGCCTTCACGAAAGCCGCCGTGAGTGCACCCGAGCCCGCGAGAGAAAGCAGGAAAGAGTGGGGATGATACTCAGGCCTATGGAGCTATGGCTTTCTTTTCTGCTATCTCGATAATTATTTGAGACGTACAAGGTTTCTGAATTAGATATGTTTATTAACAACAAAACACGCGTCCATCAATAATTTAATGTGTTTCTTTCTCAGGGAAACACCTTGATGGGATATGGTGAGAGCAGCTTTTTCATTTATACAATCCTTTTAATATTATTGTTAATACTA